GCCTTCACTTCTGAATGATAGCTTTGCTGGATAAAGTAATCTTGGTTGTAGGTTCTTGGTATTCATCACTTTGAATATTTCTTGCCACTCCCTTCTGGCCTGCAAAGTTTCTGTTGAGAAATCAGCTGACAGTCGTATGGGTACTCCCTTTTAGGTAACTGAGTTTCTTTCTCTTGCTGCTTTGAAGATTCTCTCTTTGTCTTTTGCTCTTGGCATTTTAATTATGATGTGTCTTGGTGTGGTCCTCTTTGGATTCCTTTTGTTTGGGGTTTTCTGTGCTTCCTGGACCCGTAAGTCTATTTCTTTCACCAGGTGGGGGAAGTTTTCTGTCATTATTTCTTCAAATAGGTTTTCAATATCTTGCTCTCTCTCTTCTTCTGGCACCCCTATAATTCTGATGTTGGTACGCTTGAAGCTGTCCCAGAGGCTCCTAACACTATCTTCGTATTTTCGGATTCTTTTTTCATTTTGCTTTTCCAGTTGGGTGTTTTTTGCTTCTTCGCATTTCAAATCTTTGACTTGATTCTTGCACTCCTCTGGTCTGCTGTTGGGAGTCTGTATAATATTCTTTATTTCAGTCAGTGTATGCTTAATTTCTAGTTGGTTCTTTATCACAACATCGAGGGTCTCATTAGATTTCTTGAGGATCTCACTACATTTATCGGCAGTTTCTAGAAAATTATTGAAAGACCTTAAAAGTGCGGATTTTAGCTCTATATCCTCCATTTCTGTCATGTTTCTTTGTCTCCGCATTTTTTATGCTTTCTTGGTGCACCCCCTTGTGGTCTTTGTGTGCAGTTTTGTTGTATTTAAGCCTTGATTGTTGTCGGCAATACTGGGGGTGATTTGTCCTCCAGGCTAACTGGCTATGAGAGTCAGCTGTGTCTGCAGTGGGAGAACTTCTGTGCTGGATCTCTAGGGCGGTGCTAATCTAGCGTTTGCCTAAGGCTATCCGGCAAATTCCTCTGTGCAGGGCTTGGGCGGGGATCTACAGGGCGGGCAGGGCGAGCAGTTATGGCTGCTCTCAGTTCCGTCCCCAGGGGCTCTGCCTCTCAGAGTCCCAGCAACCGCTGCAAACCTCAGAGAGAAAGCTGCCTTCGAGTTCCGACCGAAGCCAGACAGTCCTGCTTCTCCCGTTTGAGTCTGGGTCCCTAGAGACTTGCCCGGATCTGGAGCTCAGAGTCTGAAACTCCCTCCTGATTGAAAACAACAACCGCGCCCTCAGCCGCCAGCCCACTCCGCATGCACTCCGCACCTTAGTATTTGACTTCAGCACTGCGCCTCCTCTGAGTCGGTATGCTCTTCTCTTTCCTCCTAGTTGTAGAACTTCCACTCAGCCAGCCTTCCTGTGGTTCTGGATGATGTCCGTTCCGTCTTTTAGTTGTATTTTTGAAGTGGTTTTTCGAGGCAGCAAACTCCGGAGTTAACCTATGCCGCCATCTTGGTTTCTCCCAGGATGACACTTTAAACAACTGGGCCACACCAGCCGAGGGTTAAGTGCCTTCTCCACTCTTACAGCTCCACCCAGCCCGCTAGATCACTTAATGTCTTCTGTTGGGCACTGTCTTTACCCCAGGGGGCTGAGCTCAGGGAAGTGCACTGGTCCATGGCAAGCTAATGTTAGAAAAGGGCTAAAAGCAGTTACGAGAAAACAGGATTTGTTTAAATAAAGTGGAACCTATAACACTGTTTTATAATTTATAAATATACACTTAGCCAATATTTCTCTAGTGCTGCTAGGTAAACATTGAATATTGGGGAGTCACTGCTTATTCTACTGAACACAGAAGTTATTGGAAAGAGTGATCTCATCTAATTTACTTCTTGGAAGGGAGCAGTGGGAACTGGTCATTCTTCTAAGTGGGAACTTGAATGTTGACTTTCACATGTTGTTACTTCTGACCCCTCTCATCTGAATAAGAGGCCTTGGTCCATTTAAAAAGCAATGGCATGGAAGAAAACTAACCCAATGTAAAAACAGTGGACAAAAGTGAAAAGGCCATGACCTTTCCAACCTCTGACCATTGAATGTTCCCATCATTTTCTATAGTTCTATAGTTCTGTTTCCTTGGGCACCTCATGTTAAACATTGAATATTGGGGAGTCACTGCTTATTCCACTGAACACAGAAGTTATTGGAAAGAGTGATGTCATCTAATTTACTTCATGCTGCCAGGCCTGTGGATCACCCTCCAGAAGGCCCGGTCCTCCTTGGCCCCAGAAGATGTCACTTTCTTTGAGTATATTCAATTCGGCATTGTCCTTCTGGCTGCTGGACGCCCACCAGATGAAGAGAACTCTAAGAGCAGAAATGTGGAAATTAAGAGACAGACAAAACCACACGCCTCATGTCCTCTGCTGTACACAAATGCAAGGATACAGAACCCATTTGAAAGGAAGTCAATGACCTGCTTTTTTTGTGAAGATTGTAGTCTATAAGAGGAGACATACAAGAGATTAACTGTAATATGGTAGGATATAGTAAGATTGTAGGGTAAAGACGGTAGTTGATGGATGTGTCACATTCCACAAAAACAGAGAAGGTTGAAAAGGTCAGGAAATTGAATCTGCTTTATAAAAGGCATCACCTTCCACCATTTATTCATGTATTCAGTAAACATTATTAGGCATCAGTACTGTGCTATGCACTGTGTGAGGCCCAGCAATACAATTCTTCCTCCAGGAGAGAAATAACGAATAGTTGCAATTCAGTGCCATAGATGCTATGACTGGGATGTGCACAGCGAGTCATGGAAGTGCAGAGGAAGGGCACCTCAGCCCAGAGGCAAGTGATCAGGGACTGCCTCCCAAGGGTATTGAGCCTCCGACAAGGAAAGAGCTTGAAAAAGAGAGCATCGCCATTCAGGGACCATCACATATACAGTTTAGCAAGAGTATAGGTTTCAAAGAGAAGCTATTGGGGAAACAGCAGATCTTTAAGAACTGGTTGTGTTCTCCTATAGAATTTGGAGGAAAATAGGAAGCATCTCTCTTTCTCTCTCTTGGTGTGTGTGTGTGTGTGTGTGTGTGTGTGTGTGTGTGTGTGTGTGTGTAGGTAGAATGATCAATTTATGATTTAGGAAGTTCACTCCAGTGCTAGAGTGTAGGGAAGTGAAACTGAAAGCAGAGAGACCAATCTGGAAGCTAAGCTGATTCAGTAAAAATCTGATCCAGGAAATAAATGAAGTACCACACTGAAGGAGAAGTGGAGGGACTGGAGACAAAGGGATAGGAGAGGGATTGGGGAGTTATTTAGAAGATACAAAAAATGGTCTCAGTGCCTCATTGGATATGGAGGGTGATGGAGAGGATTGAATCGATGATGACTTCCAGTTTTCCAACCTCTTGGGCTAATAGTATTCATTAAAGGCTATGACCTCTAAAAGGGTTTGAATACCCTTTGAAGAATTCAAGACAACCCACTGGAGTAAAAGAAAAAAAAAGCAGAATTCCATTTACCTTTTTCTGTTTTTTAGTTTCTATTTGTATGTGTCTTATAAAGTAGACAGTAAAAGAATACAGTAGTATTTGTACATAACTTTTGGGGAACTTGAGGTGCCTATAGAACATTTAGGCAATAAATTTCAGTGGGTAATAAGGGTCTAGATCAGTGATGGCGAACCTATGACACGCATGTCAGAGGGGACACGCGAACTCATATTTTTGGTTGATTTTTCTTTGTTAAATGGCATTTAAATATATAAAATAAATATCAAAAATATAAATCTTTCTTTTACTATGGTTGCAAATATCAAAAAATTTCTGTATGTGACACGGCACCAGAGTTAAGTTAGGGTTTTTCAAAATGCTGACACGCCGAGCTCAAAAGGTTCGCCATCACTGGTCTAGATCAACAAGACTGTCCAATAGAATTTTCTGTGATCATGAAAATGTTCTAATTATATACTGTCCAATACAGTAGCCAGTAGCCACCTATGGTTATTGAACACTTGAAATATGGCTAGTGCACTGAGGAACCGAAAATTTTTTTCGTTTATTTAAATTTAAATAGCCACATGTGGCTAATGGTTACCATATTGGAAAGCACAGATCTAAACTTAGAAAGAGACCCGGGCTTTCATTTAATAAGAGCTTGTACTGGCTAAGCTTGTTACATACATTTTTAAACAATTTTATCATCCCAACTACCTCACTGAGTAGAAAGTTTTATACAGGCACACCTCAGTGCCAGACCTCCCCAATAATGTGAATCATAATCTTTTTTTTCTATTTATAAAATTTCTTTGTTGATTAAGGTATTACATATGTGTCCTTATCCCCCCATAGTCCCCTCCCCATGCCCTCACCCTCCTGTTGTCTGTGTCCATTGGTTAGGTTTATATGAATGCATACAAGTCCTTTGGTTGATCTCTCCCCCTTTCCCCACCCTCCCCTGCCTTCCCTCTGAGGTTTGATGGTCTGATCAGTGCTTCTCTGTCTCTGAATCTGTTTTTGTTCATCAGTTTATGTTGTTCATTATATTCCACAAATGAGCATAATCATAATCTTTTTTGCTGGTGGAGATCTTGCCTTCAATTGGTAAAATCGCAACATCTGTGAAATGCAGTAAAGTGGAGCACAATAAAATGAGGCATGCCTGTGAAAGAAAAGAGTAAAGTCTTCCTTTATCCTTTTAATAGTAAAAGTTTGCCGAAACCGGTTTGGCTCGGTGGATGGAGCGTCGGCCTGCGGACTGGGGGGTCCCGGGTTCGATTCCGGTCAGGGGCATGTACCTGGGTTGCGGGCACATCCCCAGTAGGAGATGTGCAGGAGGCAGCTGATCGATGTTTCTCTCTCATCGATGTTTCTGACTCTCTATCTCTCTCCCTTCCTCTCTGTAAAAAATCAATAAAATATATTTTAAAAAAAATAGTAAAAGTTTATATTGCAAAGAAGAGCATATTTGCTCTGAAATATGTGTACTTTCTAGGTATTCTCTTTGGAAGAGAATACTTACACACTTTTCATAACCAAGTAACACTTTTATATTTTTCTTTCAGGTGGCTTGCTATGTTAGAGATTGAAATGTGTATTATTTTATTATTTTATTATTATGACTGCAGTCTTCTGGACCCATTGCCAAAACAGGTGAGTATTTCCAGAATTTTGAACAGTATGGCTTTTAAATTCGATATGAACTCTCACCCCTGGGTTTTATTTTTTGTTTATCTTTTTAAAAATTGTTATTATTGAAAGTATTACAGATGTCACCATTTTCCCCCCATTAACCCCTTCTAGCCCATACCCAGGCCTTCACCACACCATTGTCTGTGTCCATGGGTTATGCATATACTAGTGTATGTGTACAAGTTCTTTCATTTATCTTTTCCCACCCATCCACCCACCCCCACCTTCCCTCTGAGATACATCAGTCTGGTCCATACTTCTATGTCTCTGGATCTACTTTGTTCATCAGTTTATGTTGTCACCCCTTGGTTTTAATTAGTAGAGATAAGCTACTCATTCCTTCTCTTAGACCTGATCTTAACAGGTGTCTAACATTGAACCAAACTAAGAAGATACTCCCTTAATTCTGCATCTAATCTATGTACTCCATCATCACAAGACCAGGACCCAATAGCAGTATTTCCACCACTTAGTGTTGGGACCTCTTCAATGAATTTACCAATGGTAACCCCTCTTCCTGCATTAGATAAACACGGCCTTGATATTGGGCTTGTTTCCCTAGAAAGATATGTCTGTGGGTCCAAAAGTGAACCATCAGTTTTGGAGACAGATTGTAGCCCTTGATCCATTTATGGAAGAAAACTAACCCAATGTAAAAACAGTGGACAAAAGTGAAAAGGCCATGACCTTTCCAACCTCTGACCATTGAATGTTCCCATCATTTTCTATAGTTCTGTTTCCTAGACCAACAGCTCTCAAACTGGTGGGAGCATCAGAATCACCTGGGGGCTTTGTTAGAATACAGAATACAGGCCCCACCCCTAGATTTTCTGATCCAGTGTGTCTGGGGAGAAGCTCAAGAATTTGCAATTCTAACAAGTCCTGGTCCTGCTGATGCTACTGGTCTGGATACCACATGTTGAGGACCACTGTCCAAGGGGAAATGCAATTTAAGTCCTAAAGTTTGGAGGTCATTTTGAAAATTCTGGATAAAAGGTGCTATTTAAGCTGAAGGTGCACTCGAAGGGCTATTCACATAGCATTTTGTGCTTTGGTTTAAGCTTGATATAATGAGGCTAATCTATGGAGGGATAAATAAAACCCTTGGGTGACATTTCAGTAGAAATTATGTAAGTGCATAAGTGACACAGACAATATTGTATTACTCACAAAAGTGCACCTTTCAGCATTTTCCTCTAATTTCTTTTGCGGTTCTATTTTGAGAACAAGTAACTATCAGTCATGAGGAGCTCTCAGAATCCTATAACGAAACGGGAGTCAAATACCCTTCACACAGGTTCTCAGCTGAGGACAGGGTTTGGGGTTTGTTTGTTTGTTTGTTTTTAGCAAAATGAAGATCAGGGCCTGGCTATACAGGCACCACATCCTGGTCCCTGGTCCCCGAGTTAGATGTCACATTTTTGCCCAGATGTCAACTATTTCCCCACCAGCAAGAAACAGAAAACCCCTTTTCAGATCAGAAAGATAACCTTCGTCAGAGTCACATGACCCCAAAGCTGGAGATCAGTCATTGTGACCAGATCCCCAGGCAAGATATTCCCAGCACTTCCTTCCTAGCTAAAAATTCTGTTACTTGTATTTATTATATTATTTTACATACATCCTAGTTCTGTGTTGATACTACTAAGAACTTTTTTTTAAAAGACATGCTATTTCAGTTTGTCAAAAGTACAGGTCTAAGTGAATTCTCATGATCTCAAAGGGCATTCTATTTCATAAATTCTTATTCTAGAAAGAGAAAGATCAATGGAAATTATGTAATTATTGGGCCTGTGTTACTAAGTTGTAAAATGAGGTGATCAAAGAACCGCAGGAAATGACCTTCAAATGTCCATGTTCTTGTAGGATGTGGGAGGGGAGTCGTCTCCATAGGAAATCTCATAAAACCTCTGGATTCCCATTCTAGAAAAACACACTCCTCTTCATACACACAGAATTGTGTCTGCAATTTCACAGGATCCACAGAAACCCTGAACTCATCCTCTCAACTCCCCTGAGAAGCTCCTGGCTAAGGAGCCCATTCCGGGCCATGTTGCTCTCACATTTGACGGTAGACTAATGACTTAAATTGGATCCATCTCCTCTTTCCTCACTTCTCCTCTTCCCCTCAACTCTCACGGCTGGCAGAATAGGTAGCTTTTCTTTTTCAAGCTTTCAAACCTCAGCAATCTCTGTATTATTTGTAATAAACTGACCACCTCTCATCTCCATATACATTTATTCCTTGTTCATAACTAGAGAGAAAGAAATCAGAACATTTGGAACCCACAAAATATCCTTTTGGAAGTTAGGACCTTTGGTCTACTGTAATAGTGATTCACTTATACCACCAACACCTCATTTACTTTTTATTTTATTTTGTTTTTATTTTTAAGATTTTATATTAATTTTTAGAGAGAAAGGAAGGAAGAAAGAAAGAGAGAGGAACATCAATAGGAGAATGAAACATGGATCCACTGCCTCCTGCTCGCTCCCTACCAGGAATAGAGCCCGAAATCTGGCCACGTGCCCTCACCAGGAATCGAACCAGCAACCTTTAGATGCACAGGATGACACCCAACCAACTGAGCCATACCTGCTAGACTTATTGAACTAAATACTAACTGAGCCATGCCTGCTCAGTTGGGTGTCATCCTTTAAAAAAGGCTTCCTTGCTTTTTAAACTTCTATTACATGGCATAGAGGTCTCACCCAGAGATTGTAAGTAAGGTGTCCCAGTTAGGGGCCAGAAATGTAGAAAGAGTCTTGTTTGTGGTATCCTGTTTAGCCAGACAAAGTGAAGGGAGGGTAGCTGGTGAAACTGATGGGATGGCCATTAGGAGAAGGGATTGCCTTCTTTTCTGTCCCTTGAGTGGAAGGCTCAAATCGATAAGACTCATCAAGCAAACACTTCCAATCTTCTAAATGTAAATTCTGGATCTTTTAGGGGATAATTATAAGTGAATAAACTGTAGGTCTAAAGCCGTTGGTTTTGTCTGTCTCTTAATTTCCACATTTCTGCTCTTAGAGTTCTCTCCATCTGGTGGGTGTCCAGCAGCCAGAAGGACAATGCCGAATGGAATATACACAAAGAAAGTGACATCTTCTGGGGCCAAGGAGGACCGGGCCTTCTGGAGGGAGACCCACGGGCCTGGCAGCATCGAGACCTGAGCTCGACTAAAACGTGCTGCTGAACCTTTGCTTTAGTATTTAGTTCAAGAAAATGTCCAAACGGTGCCTGTGTCTGCGACCTCGAGAGTAGACCAAGAATCTGACACCGCTCACTGATATGAAGACCCGAATACGTGGTTTACAGAAAATGTTTAAATGATCAAGAAGAGGAGGCATTTCTTAAGAAGTTGGAATTTGGTTTATGAAAAACTGTATTAGAACCTTAAATAGTAATAATGCCATTTGAATGAAAATCTGATTACAGTAATTCACCCTGAAGGCAACATACTTAAATTTCTGTGTTGAGAAAGGCTAGCATCAAAAACATTAAATAATGATTTCTGGAAATGTGTATTTTTCTTAATATGATTCTTAACTAGCAATTGGAATTATCAAGCTCTATTAATATAATTCTTTATTGTGAACATGTCTGATGCTAAAAGTATGAATAGCCCAGCCGGTGTGGCTCAGTTTAGCATCATCTCATGCACCAGGAGGTCACCGGTTTGATTCCCTATTAAGGCCTATGCCTGAGTTGCAGGCTTGATCCTTGGTAGGGGTATATAGGAGGCAGCTGATCAATGTTTCTCTCTCATCAATGTTTCTATCTCTCTTCTCCCTCTTCTCTCTAAATCATAAAGACATATTGTTTAAAAGGTAAAAATAAAATGAAAGCTTTCTAAGACCTGTGAAGATAGGAATTATGTCTTACACTCATTTCTACACTCAACTACATCTGGGACAGCACCTTCCCTATAAGACATTTAATAAATGTATGTAGATTGATGTATTGATTTGTATGTATTTCAATTAAGGTGAAAGCACTCTTGACTCAACTTGTCTGTAATCACAGTTTAAGATACTATTTTTGTTAATGTATGGATACATAAATATAATGATGTGTCAAGGCAGATAACAACATTTGGCTCCATTACTTGAGACTTATACCTGAAGTGTTTTCTATGAAATCCAGAAAAGAAGTTCTGTCATCTTCAGGAGAAAATATGACAATAATAACAGAGTGGTCGATGTCATGATTTGTCCTTTAATATTCAATAAAAAGCTGCTTGCCTTCTTCCTTTCACAGCAAGTAAGCTTTGTAGTGCATGCCATCCTCTGGATTATTTGCTCCCTGTGCTAGAATTATCTCATGGCGCTGATAATGATTGCTTAGTCATCTGTTTCCTACCAAGGAGCAGATGACTCCCTAGGAGAAAGCTAAGTACTCGGAGTATATTAACTCTTCCAGACTAATACAGTGATTTTAAAGCTTAGCTGCAGCTTGTAACTCAGCTTAGCGGGCTCAGGGGTCTGGAGACCGAAGGGGCTGAGGAAAATGTAGAAGTCCCCAGCAGATTTGAGAGTTGCAGACTAATCTGGCAAATTCCTCTAAAGATGCCAGGTGTGTTCTCAGGGAAGGCTCACAGTGAAACACTGCATTTGCAAATGATACACACTTCAGCTGAATTTGCAACCACTCAGGGCTAGTGTTTAGTTCATTACTGCTCGGTCAGGATGAATGTTAGCTGTCAAGTTTATGCACTTTAAAAAAAGAATCACCACCATTTAATTCTGCAGTTCTGTCAGTAAATGCTGAACTCTTGTTCCTGCTACCAAATAAAAATGAAGTTATAATCTGTGTCCATTTCTTTTCTTGGAACAAGGAAAAGAAGAGTTGGTGTGTTTTTTTAGTTTTCTTTTCTTTTTTTTTTTTTTTTATCACATGTGCCACACTGGCTACCTCCACAGGGATGTTCTGCATTGTGTTAGATGATCTCACATTGTGTTAAAATATGATCAAAACCACATTCAGAATTCCATTCTCTTCACCTAACCAGCTCTGCAGTCACCCCGCACATACCCGCACTAAAACTTGTCACTCCACCCATAACTGCTTGTCCTCTGAGGTTTTAAATCAAGACAGTCTATCTCTGGCCAGAGCCTTCTACCCCCCTCGTTCTCTCATTTATTCCCAGAACACTTACTTTTCAGCATCACAGGGAGCCTCGTTCCCCAGCTGACTACCAGCTTTCTTCTGCCTCCACATCCTCCTCCACCTGATGCTCCTTAGGTTGCCTCCATCCTCGTGACCTAATTACCTCCCAAAGGCCCCACCCCTAATACCATCAACTTTGGGGATTAGTATTTCAACATGAATTGGTGGGGGGCAGGGACATAGACATTCAGACCATAGCTGGAAGTAATCCTGCACAGTGGTTTTCCTTTCTAGTAGAGTTCTGGCTCTGTATTTGGCGCCAGTGGAAGACGCTGGACAGCACTCACAAATGAGGCGCAACTGAGCACTGTGCACGGGGGACCCCAGACTTAGTGAAGCAGCCTGGAGCCTGCAGATGGGAGTGGACCAGGACACCTGGCTTTCCTTAGCACAATGTCCTTTGTTTCAAAAAGGTGTTTAGGATAAATGTTTCCATCTTTCTCCATTAACTACTGGGCTTGGATAGATTTTTAAAACTTATTAGGGTTTTATTCATTTTACAGTCTTATTTCTTGCCATTTTAATAAATGGCTATAGGTTATTACTGGCGGGAGTGCAATTTTATGTGTAAACAATTTGTTTTCTTGATAAAATGCCTACCACTTTCTAGAAACCACCACTATGACCTTTGATCACTCGAGCAATGACTATGTGCCTAGAACTTGCTAAGCCCATTTCATCCACCCACTTATTTTATTCTGACAACAATACAAAGCATAAGCTTGTTTCTAGTATTATCCCCATTTTTATAAATGAGAAAAGTGGAGCTCAGAGAGGCTGGGTGACTTACTGGAGGTCACATAGCAAGTTTGCCTCACAATTCATGCACATGCTCCTTAGATTTTATTGTTGTTGCTGTGAAAGATGAGCATGTTTAGAATTATATAGGTAAGTGGAGATAACATCCTGACTTTACTGCTTAAGAGGCTGAAATCCAAGCAGGAGAAACGTCATGTGCCCTTGAAGGATGTTCAGTGACTAGTGAAACAACCCTCTGAGTGTGACGGTGTAACTGAACCGTTCTTTGAAGGCAAACAATGGAACAAGTGAGTAAATTTCTGATTTATTTCGGCAACAAAACATTTCTTTCCACGGCCTATTCATTTGTAGATCCCCCAATAAAAAAGTAAATAAAAGATGATCAATTTGACTCAACATTTAGTTGACTGCACATCATTATCCACAGAATTGGTTATACTCCTCTGCAGAGCCCAAGGGTCAAAGAGGCACAATTTGAAAAACACTGAACTAGACAAGCTCTGTGTTGTGGAGACATCCCCTGTCCTCTGAATGTTAAGTGCTCCCCCAAATTCCCCTGTGCCTTGACAGTTACTCAGGGTCATGGGGCCAGTTTGGCCAATGGGCTATAGGTAGAAATGATGTGTCAATTCCAAACACAGGCATTGGGATAGACACTTTATTTTCCTCTTCCCCTGACATTGTGGCAGGGGAGCTCTGCAACCACAAGAAAGCAGAGCTCTCATCAGCCTGAGTCCCTGGCCATCAGAGAGGAGAAGAGTCCTTTCCTACAATGCATTGCTCATGGTTTGAGCAAGAGACACTGATGTTTGCTGCCACAGCAGAAGCCAGGCAACCTGCACAATCTCAGAAATGAAGTCCTCTTTTTTTTATGCCTTTAGCCCTCTTTTCTCTGACCCGATTTTATTCACAGGAATATCTGCTTCCAGGACACTCCATGCCAGTTCAAGAGGGTGACTGGGTTCTAACAACATGACTTGCTGATAGCCAGTATGCAATAACCTTTTTTAAAGTTATAACATCGCAGTCAAAATTCTACTTTTGTAGTTTTACTGTGGTTTCTGCACCTTGCTCAACATGGCTAACAGCACAGGATGGAGCCTACATTTCCTTCTGCCTGGATGCCCTGGGTCTCCATCTCCGTCAGACTTAGGTCTCCAAGGCTCAGCCATCTCATTCTTGGCCAGCCCAGCGGGAGCTCTTCCTAGTTATGGAGAACCTCTCTTTGCCCCCCGCTTCTCTAAGGCTCATGTGGTGTCCCTGAAACTCAAAGCTCCTTGTTCTTTAAGAGTTGACCTCGATGGTGTTTCATAAACACCACAGCCTAGCAAAGCTTGAAGGGCAGAAATGGCCTAACCTGAAAATGTTTTCCAGGAAGTGCTGAGAAATAGTTAACATTCCATTTTTCTAGAGCAGCAGAGGAAAGAACAAACAACATGGTTAAATTGCACTTTTAGAGCATTCTGACGGTTTACACATCTTGATATAGTGATGCTGATAATAGTAAATGTTGATTGATTTTTTTTGTATTTGGCATTGTGTAAGCACTTTCCATGCTTTCCCATTCTTCTTTCAAGAACAAATAAGCACACTCAATATGGAAATATTGATTTTAGTCATCAATTCCAAGAAATGTGACAAACTGATTCATACAATAACATTTTGAAGTTGTTTCCAGAACTCTATTGAGGACAATAGTTACAAAACCAGGTGCTTGCTTTATAGTTTGCTGCACTGGCAGAAATAGCCGATAGCGTTTTACTTTTCAATTTATTTCCCTTTCAGAATAAATGGAAGCACAGTTTTCACTTAAGAAAAAGAGCTCCAAGACCATGGTTTTCTCTGCAACATTCAAGAGAGAGCAGCCACTCTGCTGCTGAGAGCCCAGAAGAAAGAGGGAGGACTCAGCTTGGAGAAGGAGCTCTAACTGAGTCCCTATTGACAGCTCAGTCATACCTCATGGGTCTTCATTTCTCCTCGAACACACGAAGGCTGGCCTGGGCTGGTGGTGCCGTCAGACCCTCCACACACCTCATGTCCTCTGCTGTACGCACATGGTCATGACATAAATATTGCATTAGTAGGCGCCCATTAAAGCAGAATGTGTGGGGTAAATAAGCCACAGCTATTGGCCTTTCTGCACCTTTTTTCATGAAGGGGATGGGAGGAAAGGCAGCTTGGAGAAGTGGAAAGAACACTGAATTTAGACCCAAACCTCTACGTCCTAACTCTGCTTCATACATTTACTAGCTCAGTTACACTTGACCTCTTGCAACCACCGTTTTCTGGTCTATAAAACAGGGATCATTCCAATAACTGCCTCAGCCTAATATTTAGATGGAATCACTGTGAATTCTGTAACCTACCTAGTGGCTCACAGTCATGATACAATAATGGTGAAAACCATGTCTGAATCAACTTCCCATACCTGTAAGTGTTCCTGGAAATTGGAGTCAATACTTACTGCAGCACTGTAGGACCTAGGAAACTTGTAGAAGCCCAATTGTGTTTTTTCTCCAGTAGATGTAAGCATGGCCATTCTGCGGTTCCTCTCGTTTCCTCTGGTTTCCTCTCACCGCTGTCCTGACTCTCACTTGCAGTTTTAGACAAACAAGTGTCTTTTCTGAGAACTTTGTATTTCACATTCTCCGAACCAGCTTGCTGAGAACAATTTCAGTTCTTTTCCTAACTTAATTTCTAGAGATCTCTACTCCCTCTTCTTTCTCTTCTAGAAGAGGCCCCAATGAATCCTGGAACTGCCTTTTCCATGAAAATACTTTTGGGGGGAAGATAAAGACCAAAAACCAAACAGAAAAGACAGAAAAGCTTGTTAGCCCCAAGTTGCATTCCCAGAATTCTTTCTCATGCTGTGTTCATTTCTCATCCAGCCTAAAGGAAACATAAGTACAAAATAAAATAAAAATGAGGTATTATCCCTTATAGGCCAGTGTCTGAAACATACATGAACTCAACTTTACAGAAATCATTCTCATTGTGTTAGATTTTACACATTGAGACTTTGCTAAGCTTTTTCTATATCATAATGTGTCATTCAGATGGCTTCGTGGAAAATCAAAAACAGTTTTTGAGAATATTCACTCACTCATTCATTCATTCATTCATTCATCCATCTATCCATCACCTAAGGTGATTCAACAGAGTGCCAGACACTGGGCAAGGAGAGAGCACGAGCAAGCAAGAGTGAGAGAGTGAGAGCGAGAGTGAGAGCGAGGAGAGACCGTGCCCTCAAGGATGTCTCTATTAGTAAAGGAGTTAGACTGTCTTCTTCTCAAGTGCCCATCTAACATCAGGTGCCTATTATAAGCCCATGACATAGGTACTAGCATTAGCTCCATTTTTCAGAAGACGAACTGAGGCTCAGGGGCATCGAGTGGCTTTCCTAAAGGCACACAGGTAGTCGGTGGTGAGCCAGGATTTAATCCAGACGCTCGGGCTCCAGGATCTGTGCTGTTAACTCTGTCTTTGCTTCTTCTAGGGGCACCATCAGAGATTTACTCCAAAGGGGTGAATCATACTCCACCAGAGCCTTGCACATTCCCACATCTCTGCACACCAAATAGGCAATCATCTCTTGCAGTAATTTATAAGCCCAAACATAGCTGAGATGTTTAAAATATCTTGGAGCAGTGCTGTCCACAAGAAGGATGATTTAGTGCATTTTTAGCTCTTACTTTAAAAATCTCTAGATGTTTTCATACCTCCTATCAAAGCCGTCACTGGGAGGAATAACATAATCAGAGGAAGGGGATTTAAACTGTAATAAGAAGTATTCACCTTGTCTAGCTGGTTAGCCATGTTATCAAGATGCTCCAGTGATTTCACTCTGAAAATATGAATTCCATCAACATTCCATTAAGCA